CACCCCCACACACACACACACACACACACACACACACACACACACACACACACACATAACTCACACACACACACACACACACACACACACACACACACACACACACACACACACACACAAATAACATATATATATATATATATATATATATATATATATATATATGAGTTCATTTTAAAATCTGCTGTATATATATATATATATATACATGTGTATATATATTTTTCTGCCATCTTCCCATCTTCCGCTTGTGGTCAAGCTGTGCTACATGCTCAAGGTCAGAACTGTGAGGAATGAGGCCTTGCTTCCAGCCTGAAGTCCTAAACGCCGACAGTGTGGCTTTAACTCACTGCAGCATTAAGATGTGATGTATGCGCTCTGTTCTGAACATAATGCCATTTGATGTTTTCAGCGGAGGCTGTTGCCAGTGGTTTAATTTGGGCTGAGATGAGCTTCATGGCTGCCATTTGACCTCCTACAGCTCGGCCTATCTCTGCAGGGGTCAAATACATTACCCTTAATGTACAAGTGCAGCCGAGTACAGGGCAGTGGGGAAATAATCTCAATGATGATGACAATAGATCAGGATAAACTGGAAAACTTGGGAGTTATTTAGTGTGGGATGATAGTGGATGGTGACCAGAGGGGTGCTGGGACCTGGGGGATACCGAATGGTTTACACTTCACTTCTGGCGAGATGGTAGAATGGATTGCACAACCATGGCCATGCACAGAAGGTGGACATATTTATTTAGGTTTGCCCGTGTGTTTTGCAATCTGAGAGACACGCTGACTGATTATGCTGTAGTTCCACATGACTATAATCTGAAAAATTGACAGTTGATGACAGTTTGATTATACTCCCTAATATTTCCGTAATTGTTATGAAAAGTTTTTCATATTGATTTGATGTTTGTGAGTCTTTACTTTTATTATTATCATTTACTACTACTACAACTTTTACTGTTGTAGTTATGTAATGGGGGGGGATTAAGTATTTTAGATTTTTTTATAATTTATTAATTTCATTTTTTGATGATACTATACTACTACTAATAATAATAATGTTTTTATAAATGATAAATAATAGGATAATAAATAATGTTTTTTGAATGTACAGTTGGGTCAAAATGTTTTACATTTATTATATGGGAATTTAAAACTATTAAAGACATTGTCTATATTAAACTCTTTTGTAAAAATTAAAATTTATTACATTTAACACATATTTGTTCTAATAATAATAATAATACCGTAATGAAAAAAATGGTATTAAAATAGAAAAATTCTAAATTTAATATTTTCACTACTTGTCTCAGACTTGTGGCCCCCACTGTAATGGTAAGAACCATGATATTCATGGCCAACATTGGAATACCATGTAAGAACCACTATGTAAAAATTGACAAATTTCAAAGTACTGTAATATTACCATCTCATACCATCACTCTACCAGCACATAATGTTTTTTTATAAAGGAATTTATTTCTGAATCAGATAATGTCAACTCAAAACAACAGCGATCTAACACATGCATTTATATCTGACATACTGAAGAACTTTATCTAAATTGTCAGTGTGAATTTAGGTGTTTTTTCTGCTGCTTTATGACATGCATTGTGTGTCATGTTTTTCCTGTCTTATAATGGCAATGTCTTAAATGCCCTGTGGACCACAGGTCTACACACGCCTCTGATAGGCATTAGCCCCTCCGCCTGAACAAAAGAGGGCTGGACTGATTTGTGCAAATGTCCCAAGAATTTCTTGCTTTCCTTTTCTATCTCTGTTTGCGCTGGAACAGCCCCATCAATTACAGGCAATTGAGCCGGCAGCTCTCCACCCTCTTTGGCAAGGACATTGTAAAGCAAGAGGTTTCCTATTCATCTGCACTGAGCCCTGCTCAATGTACCGCCCCGCAGTAGAGTCCATGCCTGTCACACTTAATCCAGAGCTCTCACTGGGGACAGGAAGGTGAAATCAGTGGGATTTCTACATCTTTACTGTTTCTAGAGCTCTTCCGCTTAGTTGGAAGGAAATTGAGGAAGATGATATAGGTTTTTCCGTGTGTTAGTTATGTTTGCTGAGACATTGTCACCAAAAGGATGATTTTATCCCTTTCTCCATTCACATCTTGTTAGCATTTCTTAATTACTGAGTGATTCATGTTCTATGAAATTGTTAGTTTCAATAACAATGTTCATAATATCACAAATGGATCCGTATGTGTCTTTATTTACAGCAAAATACTTAAGTACTACATTAATTATTAAAAATGTCATTAAATTCATATGCATATATATATATATATATATATATATATATATATATATTAAAAGTTTGGGGTCTATAAGTATTTTTAATTTCTCTGAAGTGTCTTATGCTCACCAAGGCTGCATTTATTTGCTGAAAAATACAATTAAAACAGTAATATTGTGGAATATTATTACAATTTAAAACAACAGTTTTCTATTTGAATGTATTTTAAAATGTAATTAATTCCCGTTGTGGCAAAACCTAATTTTCAGCTGCCAGATATTATTCTAATATTGTGATTTGGTGCTCAAGAAATATTTTAAACAGTTGTGCTACTAAATATTTTTGTGGAATCTGATACTTGCTGAATAAAAGTAATAATTTCTTTAAAAAAAACAAAAACATACTGACCTCAAACTGACCTAATTATTAATATAGTCATGTCTTTATAACTTGCGACTTTGTTTCTCGTAATGGCAACTTTTATTATTTTATACCTAATCTCACAATTAGGCCTATCTTTTTCATTTTTTACTCCAAGGCAGAAACAGGCTATGATAAAATGACATATGAAATTGAAAAACATGTAGCAGTAGCCTCCTCACTACTTTTTAAACCGCTATCATTTAGGTTGTTACTTGTTTCTTCTAATTACATGTTTGACAAAAACATAGTTGGTAACACTCAGTTTTGGTAAATGATCTGATATAATACAAATGATGTAATAATAATTATACGATGATGCTCTAATATATTCCATGGTACTGAACAATTACCATATTCATGTGCAATTCTTTTCTATTTACATGGTGCTACAAAAATACCATGTCTAGAAGCCATGGTATTATCATAGCACCATGTCCAAAAAGCCATTGTAGTACAATTTGCTAGTGAAGGGATCCAGAGAATGGTGTGTCTTGGGAGGAGAGTAGGAGAAAAGAAAAATGTTTGGCTATATCTCTGATGAAAATTTGACAAAGCGTCCAGGGGACACCCTCCTCTCCAAAAAAGAAAAAACTCTTGTGGTGTAAGGCTTCAGACTCCCTCATAAATATAAATTTTAACATGCAGCAGTGGGGATCAATATAATTTCAGCCATGGAATACGACTTAAGGAGTTGGCTTTATCTAATTGGCCTTCACTGAAAAATGAACTCTGCAGCCTTGATAGGGACAAGCGGCTTCAGGCCTGGGGGGGCGGCGCTGGTGATCAAGGGTCTGCTCTCTTTTTGTCCCCAGAATCACATCAATCACTGCTAAAGAGTCTCCCGTCCCACTGCAATTTCTTTCTGGAGCGCCCATGATCTTTCCCTCCCACAATGCCCTTCTCTCTCGCCTGCACGGTGGCCAGAGAAGAACTCATCCTGTCAGCACGTCGTTAAATAGTTGGGTCTAAAGGCTCTGAGTTATAAATTGTTGTGCATAATTTATTTTTTCTGGAGGAGAGAAATCTATTGTGAAGTTAACTTTATAGAGGTCCGCATAACAAAAGGGAATAAATGAATGTGTTAGAGGTGAAGAGGGATTCATCCATCTTAAGGAGTCGACCCGTAAGTTGTGTGGTCTGTAGACACGTCTATGGTTTTGGGTTGCAGAGATCCTTCGCAAATATGGGATGTTATTGAATATTCTACACGCCTCTTGGCTGGTGCTCATTTCTATGCTCCGTATCAAAGCCAGAAAAGGGAGTTTATTAAATAATTGTATCTAAATCAGAGTAAGGGATTGAATTATGGGATTGAACGCCCTAGATTGACTAAAATACGTATTGTGCATGGTCTGAAGCAAAACATGAACCGAAAAATTTAAACTGTCTGTACAGAGATTTTGTATTTGCATCCACCATGAGGTTTTTTTTTTTTTTACTTTGTAAAGTTTCATCGTAATGAAGTATTTTTGTGTTTCAGGGCCGGGCTCTCCTGCACTGGGCATGTGACAGAGGCCACAAAGACCTGGTGTCTCTACTCTTGCAGAACAACGCTGATATTAATAGCCAGGTGAGTCTGTAAACATACATTATAAGACATTCTGTATAAGACATTCTGGCTGATTAACGATGACAAGATCATTTTTAAGTTATAGCTGATAACTGATATGAAGGCAAATATTTAGTCCTTCAACAAACACAGATTGACTAACCTAATTGCAAAATGGACTGCTGTGAACTGTAGACAAGTTAATGGGTTTTCGCTTAATGGTATGGAATAAAACAAACTATATATTGGTATTGAATATTTAATTGTGCATGTTAATTTTCTATATTTTTACATTTAGATTACCTTTGCATCATTTAAATCTCAGTTAAGGTTTTAAAAATGTTAACTAGGCATAATAACAGAGTATGGTTACTGATTTTATAGATATAAATATGCATTCATTTATTTATTTATATTTATATTTTTGGTTCACAAGTTTAGTGTCATTAAGACATTTTTAAAAGAAGTTTCTTAAGCTCACCAAGGCTGCATTTATTTGATCCAAAATACAGTAAAAATATTATATTAAAATTAAGTCTCTTATGCTCTTATGCTTTTTTTATTATTATTGCTCAAGAAACATTTCTTGTTATTATCAGTGTTGAAAACACATTGTTTTTGCTGCCTATTATTTTTCATGGAAACTGTGATAGGCTACCATTTAAAAGTTTGGGGTAAGAAAGAAAAAAAAAATCAATTTATTCAAAATGGATTGCTGTGAACTGTTAGACAAGTCCTAAAATTTGACCAATACTGGGTCCAATATGGTGACAAGTATATTGTGTATTCTGGGTGCACCATATTTTGGTTATAGGTCAATATAAGAGTTTTTTTGTTATTTTTTATTGTATCAGTTGATAATGAATATTTAATTGTGCATGCTCATTTCCTATATTTTTACATTCAGATTACTTTTGCTGTCATCTTAATCTAAATAATGCAAATAAAGTGAATTTCACTTTAAAAACCCTGATAATTCAATAGCAGTCTTAAATGTAGTTTTCAGCAAATCTCAAAATTGAGCGAAATACTGTGAACTTCTAAATATTTTGTGGAGAAGTACATATTTAACTTTTTGATCCCAGAGCTGAGAGACCCTCATCCTCACTAATCTGAGAGAACTGTGAACTGGGAAGTCCTGCTGCCATCCTCCATCCCTGAGCTTAGCAGCGTCTGTACTTTAATCATTTAGGGATATCGTATCAGCGTATCTCAGTGGGTGCTAAGCAACACACTATAAGCAGGTAGCTGTATTTAAAAAAACACTACAGGTCATAATGGCAGATTTGGCTTTGTTTTAAGCTGACTGGCTGAATACTGCATTGGGAAATTAATACGGTGAAGTACAGTTATGCGGTCACTGGCTTGATCTGATTCTCGCTAAGACAAATCAATTGGAAGTAATCAGCCAAATTGTTTGCATTATACAACCCATATAATCAGAACATTTGCAAATGACTCTTTTTTTAATTATTTGATTTATTTATTTTTTGGTGGCTGTGGACCTTAATTGTGTGGGTGGAGAGCAAATGCTTGGCCTAGATGACAATCAACGCTGTTCTATTGTTGTATTTTAACAGTTAGACTAATGTGAAATCCCCACTAGAGCTTCAATAGAGAACATAATATCATATTATATGTAACAGACATTTTATCACCTGCTCTGTATAGCATATATAATCATATGAAGTTCTTGTGTACATAATAACAGGTAGTTGCACACACACACACACACACACACACACATATATATACGTATATAGATATATATAATAAAATGTATCATTAAATATTTTACATTTTATAATATGTGAAAATAAATAAATATATAATACATGTATATTTTGGAGCCAAGAATTGTATTTCCTTGGAAATAACATTTTTACTTGACTTTGGACGTAAATTGGCCTGTTTTTGTCGCTTTTTTGGATCAAAGGTGGTTCCCCAACAGCCATGTAGAATCGACAGACGTCCTTCAAAGTTCTGTTCTGGATTACTGCACTGACCAGCAGAAGGTGAATATTGCTGGACTACAGCAGGAGAATTATTGAGGGCAGATTTATTAAGTAGCGTTCAGGTGGCATGAGAGAAAATATGGCCGTGTTAAATCATGGTACTGCTCCTGCCAAAATGATTATCCTATGTTAATACTTTCAGGAAGTGTGATTTGATAGCAATATAAAACTTCATAGCCACTCATTAGGTTCAAGTGTGAGCCATGACTGCATTTGAAAAGCACACAAAGAAAACACCAATAGCTCAGTTTCGATGTATTTTCTTATATATAAATGTTTTTGGATACTTATACAAGACTAAAGGTAGAACATTATAAATGAAAAATATTACAATAGACCAACAGTGAATAATGGTGAACCATGAACTGTGGGCGAGGGCAGCGTTTTCACGCATCTGTCTTGTGATCCGATTTCAGCTTAGTGTTAAATAAAGATAAAAGTGGTTTATACTTTTAATTTGTTGATTGAAATAGGGGGAAGGGAGGAAAAAAAATGCTATTATGTCTTCAATGAAAATTGTATTGCAATTAATCAGATGATGGATGCGGCGGTCATGGAGAGTGTGGTAGTTTGAATATCGTGGTGTTTTGGTGTAATCCTGGATCAAGGGGAACCACAATAGGAGTAAAAAGTCCCCTTGTTCTCTCAGATTAGCTCATATGCCACCTGTCAACAGCCACCTGGACAACATCACAGCGCCAACATATATTCAGTTCTCTCTGCATAATTGAACAGAACTGGGACACATGGGAGAATTTGGGGGGACTCGTTTTTCACGCTCATAGAATGTGTTTCATGTGTGGTAGAGTTAGATTTGTACTGGTAAAATCCGTGTTCATGAGTTCATGCATCTGTTGTTTTCAACTGCACTGCAGAGGAAGTAGAACACAGTCAACTATGAAACCCACACTGCGTGTGTGTTTGTGCATGTATGTTTATGTGTGCTACTGGCATGTGGCGTGACGCATCAAAACTAATCGATGAAGCTGGCTATAATGAAAGCATCCATTGCGCTTTTGTCATGACATGCCTTTATTTTTTTTAAATATCTGAAATCTGATTTATATTTATACAAATATGTTTTGATGGTTTTGCATGGAATTATTATTTATTTTTATTTTTTAGATAACTTCTAACCGTTAAAGGCCAGCTTGTGATTTAAATTTTTTTGTGTTTGGCTACCTTGCCTTAATTTTTAACCATATACTGATAAGATGTTTCACCAAGGCTGCATTCATTTGCTTAAAAAATACAGTAAAAACTGTAATATTGTGAAATATTAGTACAATTTAAAATAACTTTTCTATTTTAATATATTTTAAGATTTAATGTATTCCTTTGATGGCAAAGCTGAATTTTCAGCAGCCATTACTACAGTCCTCAGTGTCACATGATCCTTCAGAAATCATTCTAATATGCTGATTTGCAGCTTAAGAAACAGCTCTTATTATTATCAATGTTAGAAACAGTTGTGATGCTTAAGATTTTTGTGGAAATTGTGATTTCTTTCAGTATTCTATACGTTTAAAAGAACCACATTTATGTCACTTTTGATACATTTAAATCTTGGCTGAATAAAAGTATTGATTTCTTTTTAAAAAACATTTAAATGGTAGTCTACATATGTTGTAGTAGTACCTCAAGCTCACAGCTGATTGGTCCATGTTAGTGAGGCTTTAGAGGTGACGTGGTGCAACTTTGCCACTTCCAGTGTAAACACCTTCATGCTGCTGATGCTGATAAAGGATCCAGTTTTCTGTAAATACCAAACAGAACACAAACACTATTTATCAGAGATTTGATTCATATAGGTGTTGGTCAAGCTCAACCTGTGTTACTGCAATCTTGCACCTACCAGCTGTATCTTCAGTCTTAAAATGGATGTATACAAACACACAAATTTCTAAACTGTTCTTTATTCAATCAGGGGCAGCTATTTTGCAAGTTATTTGCATGTTAAACAATGTAAACACAGTTTTAGTGGCATGATCAGAAATTAGAGCATGGCACATAGAGCTTAATGAGCTTAACACCACAAAGCATGTTTTGAGTCTCAAAGGCCTGACTAATGAGCGCTTCTCTCAAACAAAGCAGCATGCTGCAGAACAGCAAGCCCATAACACTTTTGGTGAAACTTCTGTGAAATCGTTTTGATTCGCATTCTAGATAATGTATATTTTTGTGCATTGCTTGGAAGGCAGCATTGTAGTGACATTCCTTTAGTATTCAAATTAAGTTCGCTGTAAAAAAGTGATTTTTCAAAGTTGTACGTACAAGAAAATATTTCTACTTCAAAATTTCATGTTTAATTCAATGTGTTACTTGCTGTTTCTTTTTAATTAATTGTTCAATTTATTAGCAATTTCTGAGTGAAAATTATTTCTACAAATAATAAAAATAGTCTGTCCCAGGTATAAACCTTCCACAATTAATTTAGCTTGAATTGCTTTATGTACAGGCTAAGTTCAAACATTGTTTTGTAGATCATTTCAGCCTTTGACATAAAACATGGTACACTGTTTAAAATAAATAAATAAATAAATAAAAACATACAAAAAGATATGTTTTACAGAATGATTTCAGTCTTTCTACTTCAAAAATTCACTTTTAATTCAGTGTGTTACTTGCCGTTTCTTTGTAATTGTGAAATTTATTAGCAATTTCTGAGTGAAAATTGTTTATACACCAATTTGTTTCTCAGTGTAAAATGGCAATTTCAGTATGCTTTTTCATTTTTTATTGTAAAGTTATACTTTTTAAGAAATTTGAGACTGAAGATTCAAAATTCTTGGCATCCTCATTGATAGAATGTGTTTAATCTATCTAAGCATCCAAAACAGACCGTGACAGACCATAAATTATGCAAGCTAAATTGCAGTTGGTCTTCCTTCTTAAGTCTGTTTGCATACTGATTTGTGATTGGTCATTAATTAATAATAATTTATATTTTTTTGCTGCCTCGAAAGTGCATTACGTTCTGGAAATGCAAGCTTTTTCGTAGTCAAGTTTGGTATTTTAACTCATTTGCCACTTGCCATTTAGATGTATTGTGGACTTTATTGAAAGATCAAGTTTAATGCAGTTTTAAAATTTAGCTTGAGCTACTGTTTTCATTCTTTTTTTTCTATTGTTAATTCTCTGTCTTTCTCTCTCATCTTTCTTCTTCCTCTCTCTGTGTGCGTTTTTTTATGAAAACAACACGAGTAGCCAGCAGTAGAGGGTGAATCCCAGAGACACTGTGTCTAATTAATCCACTCCCCTTCTTGCACGGCTGCGCTGGCCACGCGCTCTCAGTCCATCAGATTGAAATTCATAACTTAATTGAGGTCAGAGCCTGGAGCCGAGAGAACAAAAGGCCCTGGCGAGGACCAGGTAGATCAATAGTGATAAATATCTGCCTGGGCTACTAGTAGTTCATAGTGAGGAATTGTTTGGGACAGAGAAGGGATGCTGTTTATTTACAGGTCATTTAGTGGCGTTGTAGAAATGGAGAGATAATTGAAGCTTTTGCATTTGTGCAGTAGGTTCCTGATAGCAGTTTTAAGGGTTTGACTGGTTTTACAAAATGTCACCAGTTGCATCATTTTATTTTAAAAAGATGCATGAAATGATTTAGTTGGAAGACGTACACATTAGGTAGGTTTAAAAAAAATGGTTGTGTTTCTCAAGTTCTGGCTACACACTTTCTTAATCCCAGCAACTGTTTAAAATTCCCTGTTGAGAACATTCTTACACATTCAGGTCCTTCTGCTGCTGCCACAGGTCCACTATAACAAATGGTTCCATCCTCCACGTCATAACAAATACCCAAGGCAATCTGTCATAAGATTGCCGAGGAGAGGTGTCCAATCGCCAGCTGCATGAGAATGGGGCTCAATGGTGGGAGGGTTTAGCCGCACGGGGTGAAACACACACTTACAGCTCATTCAGAAGAGTTTTGCTTCTGATCTGAGGCTGGTTTGCTGTTCAAATTCTAATCATTGTAGGGTAACATATGAAACTGTGAGCAGCACTACAGGGCAGTCAGTGATTTTGGTTTCTCTAGTTTTGATTGCTAGTTCGGCGAGTATTGTGAAGCCCAATTCATTTTAGTGAAAGCAAAAAAAAAGCATTTGTGCAATGCATTAAGACTGTTCCCTGAAGTCCCTGCTTTGCATTTTTTGTGCAATTTTTTTTTCATGTTTTTGTGCTGTTTATCACTTTGTTTTTCAAGTAGGTGAAATGGATTTAATCAAATGTTGTTTTGTTTGTTTATGGTTCATGTTTGACTCCCTTGCAGACAAGTGATTTACAAATGCTTTGCGAATCATTTCAAGCTTATTATTAACTTTTATGTTTGGCATTGTATTTGCTTTCATCATGCATTTCCTTGGGAATCCAACCTGTGACCTTGGTGTTCCTAGTGCTATGCTTTGCTCTTTGAGCTACAAGAATCCTGTAAGCATTCGCATAATTGTCATTCTTTTCACCTCCTTTTTATGTAAAAGAGGTTTATTATAGAATTGATTTTATTATTATAGTGTATTATTCACAAAAGTTTACACTTTTTCCCTGTCACATTTAAAGGCATAGTCCACCAGAAAATGAAGATTCTGTCATCGTTTACTCACCCTTGTGTCGTTACAAACCTGCATGCCTTTCTTTCTTCCGTAGAACTTAAAAGAAAATATTTCAAAGAAAATTGGGAACCGAAACTGGTTGGTTATCAACATTCTTC